AGCCTTGATCAAGGGTCCAACAGAGAAATGATTCTGGCAGCCATGGGATTTGAACCCATGACCTTCCGGACAGAGCTTGCTAACCCACTAAACGCCACACGGCTTCCTGTGCACCATACAAAGAGAATGAAGAACAGCCTGCTCCCTCCAAGTTATTTCAGTGACCGCAAAAGCAATAGCGCCGGAATGCAATGTACCACATTTAATATCGAACTCAGGTAATAATCAAAGCGAGGACCTGAATTTAATGGCTCTTCTCTGGCTCTGTTTGCAAAGAGGCTGATGTTTGCCAGGTCCTTCCAAGGGGCAGATGTGAAGCGTCTAACAGGACTGTAGAATAGAATGGGGAGGGGGGGGATATTTTTCAGATTGACATAACCGTCATTGTCACAGCTACTGGTAAAAGGCAGCTGTGTTGACCCGATGCCGAAAGACCTTCTGACGAATGACGCTTCAATCAGCTACCAGGAAACAGAGATAAAAAAGAGACAATTCCTGATCACACCCAAAATGAGCGATCACGCTGCCTTCCAGCACATTTCTCTTATAATGACCAAGGTCAGTACAGTTGATTTCATCCAAAGCAGAGTGTGTGTGTGTGTGTGTGTGTGTGTGTGTGAAGACTGAACCATGCATGTGACAGTTGGTTGTTCTGATGGTATAGCCACGGCCAGCCTACCCTACACCCAGGGCCCCCAAGTAAATTGGCCTTTGTACAGTAGGTCACACACACACACACACACACACACACACACAGGTTTGTAATTATATCTTTGTGGGGACTCTCCATTCATTACTTTGGGGAAAACTCTAATCCCAACATGATGACCTTAGCCCCATACCCAGCCCTAAGCTTAACCATAAGTAACCAAACAAAACTTTTGGTATTTTTAACTTTTTGAAAAAATGGTCCCCACAACATCAAAATCACAGGTTTTTATCACATTGTGGGGGTATTTGGACCCTACAATGTAATATATACATAACACACACACACACACACACACACACACTAAATGCATATTTTCAGACTGCGGGAGAATGGATGCACAGGTGGACATCATTCTACCAGCAAAAACCATAAAAGTTAGAGAACCCAAACAAACAACTGTGGCTGACTTCTTACGCTCAGCAGGGTGACATAACGAGGAGTAAGACTTGCTGTCGTTTGGGTGGGACGACATGGAAGCCCTCTGAAAAGTTAACTTGGAACCTGCATACAAGAGACTCAGATAAGAAACCCATTAGCAGTTATTTTTAATACTCACCTTCTGCGTAATGGACTCGTGTTTCGACTCATCTTATCCAAGCGTGTGGCCTGTATCGACCCACGGCCCGACGGCTCACACAGCGCGGACCTGGCTGGTCCGAGCCACATCCTGCCCGCGCGGAAGATGCAGGCCTCCAGCCCAGCAGGTGACGGGCAGGCTGCCAGGACCTTGTAATTGTGCTGTTGCGCTCGTCTTGAAGAGATACACAAATGTTTATGGAGATCACATCCCCCGCTGATCACAGGAGGACACGAGTGTGGAACCCAGGCCCCAGCACTGCAGCTCTGCCTGAAACTGACAGCTAAAGAGATGGACTTTAAATTGCCTGTCTATTTCCATTAAAATTAATTCACATGCTTACCTTGTGCAGGAGCACCTCAGCAGAGATCCGATGTGAGACGCGGGCCGCCGGACAGAGCGGGAAACAGCTGGGAAGGAATTCATCATACTTCTGAGGTGATGAGCATTATTAGGACTGGGAGAGAAATTAAAATACTAAATTATTGTCCCCAAACCCAGGCTGTCCTGGACTGCGGCAACAGATAACAGAGCAACGGTCTCCAAGGTAGCAAAATTAAGGAACAGTTCCCTCCTCAGGCGAAGATAATGAGGCCAGAAGAGCTAGATAAATTGTTAATCAAGCTGAACAAAACAGCCCTTTTATATGGTCAAAGTTCAACTGGAGCTTCCATAAAGGCACAGAAAGGAATATCTTTAATCGTTCTGACAGGCACAATAGAGATCAAGTTTAGTATGCAATTGTTGAATCAATAAATCAGAATTATGAAATAAAATCAAGTTTATAACCCAAAATGGTTCATTTTACCTGGGACGTAACTGGTCATATATTCACAGAGGATTCACCGTGGATATTTTGTAGAAGTTAAAATATTAAATCATCATCAGGCCTTTGGTAAGTGGCAGAGATTTGACACGTTAAGGGCAATTTTGCAGCGACTTAAGGGACCATGTCTGAGAGGTGAGAGGACATGTTCATACCACACTTCCATTAACTGGACAAGCGGATAAGCGCCTGTTCGTGTAGTCCTATTTATTAAAACGTGCTCATGAAAAAATGACCCACAAATTAAGTCAAGTTGACTGAAAAAAAAAGATACAGAACAGCACACACCTTTTACAGGCATGCAAACGCGACCTTTGTATCATTGTCACATTTGCCCGGAAAGCACCTTCTTCAGCGACAAGAATCCAGAATGACCCGCTGAGTTGTTTGTTTGTCCATTAAGAGCAAGATATTGGTTTCGCTTAGCCATTATTGAAACGGCACCTTTTAAGTGCGAGAATGTGGGGCAATCAGTCAAGAGTATTGCGATCGCGGAGCGTTTGTCACGGAGGGATTCAGACGTAGATGCAATCAGTGCCGGAGAACCTACCCCCAGATGTGGTGGGAACCATGAGAACATCGGTCACCTTTGTAAAGCTAATAATATTTTTTAATCATCCAAAAATAATATGTGCGACTGTTTTACGCAAATTCTCATTTTATTGTATTTTAAAAAATATACAAATAAGTCACAGATATGTTACACAACACTTTCAGAACAACAGTTAGAACACATATACAGTACATCCCAAACCAGCTATTCTTAAATTGCACACATTTTCAAACCTCTTTATTAAAATTTTGTACCAATACGTTACGTACATGGGAGCTGAATGAACTGCACTCACTGCACATGACGGTTCCGCTATAAATCATAAAGCCATTGTACTTTTACAGAATGGAAAATCTCCAGTGACTTCATTCAGTAACACTGGATTCTGACATCAGGTCCCTACTGATATTCTTCAGAATCTTCTACTTAAAACTCAGAAGGGGTTTCCGTACTGATAACCTCTAATACAAAAATAATAATCTAACACATCTAACAAAAATACCAAAACATATCATTTACATTTTTCCTTATATAACAAGCCTCTTAAACATGGGGCAATAGCTCTATAACCTTTCATTGAGTAAAATTATTATTGGTTGCAAGAAATGCTAGGGAAATCAATAAAGTACGCTAAATTGATTTTAGCATTTCCACACTCCGTTGTATAGAATCGCCCATGCATGAACCATGCACGCATTTCCTATAATTGCCTAAAGTCCGGCAGCCCTGTACTGGAGAACAGACTGGAAGGTGGACGCTTACCCAATGAAGGGTCACAGCACGCCTGAAGACAAGCCCAGGAAGGAGAGGGCATGATGTAGGGCACGCCTTGGACAGGATGCAGGTCCACCGCGGGGGAACATGCTCAGACAGTCTCTACAGGCAATTCTGAGACACCTGTTCACCTCAGTCACATGTCTTTGGATGGCAGGAGTAGACCCATGCAAACAGGGACAAACTCCATACCTATACAGGGAACAGAAACGGAGGCCTGGAAAGCTCAGGCCACAGTGTTACCCACCAATGCACTTTGACACTTGCAGCAAACCTATTTTAGATAACACAGTTGTTTAATAATGTCTCAACCTTGCAACCATAATGCTAATGCTGAAAATGCAACATTTTGACTTTGCTTGGTAGCATTAACTATTTACTTAAGTTTTTAACGCAAGGGCAATCACAGTATATATGAAGTATGCTTTACTCGATACCATAGTTTACATGCTTTCTTCAATTTAAAAAAAAAGCGCAGCTTGGTTAGTCCTTTGTTATCCAGCATTTCTAAATTGGACACAGGAAGTAAACAAAAGGGTAGAACAGGAAGTACAAGGAAAATACCCAAACATGTGAAAATGGCCCCCGAGATACCCACAAAATGGCATTTAAGAATAAAGTGAGAGTATATGCAGCTTGGGGGCCAAGAATGTCAGACATGAAGAAAAACAGCCCCATGCAGACGGAGGTGCCCTTCTGGGGTACCTTTGACAACAGTAAAACAAATTGCTTGGAAGAGACATGAACTATATCTTGGTAAATAGTTCAAACTGTATGTCATGCAAGTTCCTTTGGATAAACATCTGTTGATAAACAAATTGAAGGAAAACAGTAAATGACTTGGTTTTACTCGGAGAGGATTACTGGTTGGGTAAGATACGTTGTGTTATAGGCAAGTTTGACAATTTGTGCAGTAACTCTCTGAGATGTTTACCGGAAACATCATGCCTTCTACGAAAAATGAACCAATCCAGTTAAGCTGCTTCCTCACAGTACTACTGCTAGGTAAACAGACAGTCCGACAGACATGCATGACTCCTGGTGTCAGCGGCAGAGTCACATAACTCCTCAAAAGTAGGGAAGCTCTCACAGAGAGCAGGACTGTCCTCAGTAATGGGCAAAGTGGAAGAAGGAGGGAAAATGGTGGAACTCCCGGTCAATCAGCCATCTCTCAGGAAAACCTTTAATTGCACTGCAAGCCAGGGGAAGCAGATTCTGAATGACCTGTCTATACATCACGTATAGAGAGGGTGAAGGAAGACATACAGGAAGTCAATCTAGGTAATGTACACAAAGTGAAGACAGTACTGGACAAGTTATCGACAATGTAGACATATCAGAGACAGTCAGAGTTGGACAATGTGCACACACTACAGAAGATGGAGTGGAGAGGAATACAGTGGAGAGTGCAGTGGAGAAGGAAAGAGCAGGAAGGGGATGTTCTGCACGCCAGACAGAAACAGTGGTGAAGTGGGCTAGCCATGGGTATTACAGAAGCAGAGAGCCTGATTGGAGGCTGACAGAGACACTCAGATGAAGTCAGCCAATCAGGGTCATGTTCCTCAGAAGCCACTGCTGTGAGCGGCTCCCTGTGCAGTCCCGCACTGTGGGAGCCATCTTGTCCTCTTCCGACGGCATGTCCAAGCACTGGTTGCTGTTGACGTGCAGCAGAGTCATCCTCTGCGGGGCCGGACAGAAAGACGCATGGGTTAAGGAGGTCATTTACAAGTAGCCATTCGTCCTGGATCTGTTCTTCTTCTCCACTCAGAAACCAAATACGACAGCGACGGAATCAATGGCAAAGAGCTCCGATGCAGGCACCTAAGCACACACTGACCTTTAACACTTTCCAGACGCTTTTTATGTTGATGTTTGTTGGGCCATGCAAGGTTAAGTACATTAGAGCAGTGATTATCAAACTATGGGCCAAATTAACAGGATGGGTCAATTACTGGACCCTTATTTATTTACAGCTGCTTGAATACTACTACAAGCAACAGAGCCACACAAGAACTCTTCCCCGGACCCTCTTTCTGACATCGAGTGGGAGCTTCTTGGTTCGTTCTCACATTAATGGACAGTTTTCCCGCCATAGCGCTGGTGCCCTTGCCATGGGTGAGCTCAGAACCACCACGGCAGAGACGATGGGCCTCGTTTCCGGCACAGGAACATGGCGACAAAATGACAAACGACAGGACGGTTAAAGCGGTGCCATTTCCCCCCTTCCAATGCAAACTCTGGGTCGCTCCGCAGCCCTGGACCCCTGCAGGGCTTCCGATTCGCTCAGGCTGCCGCGCCCTTGTGAAACAGAGCTTTCATGACAATGCAGATAATGAGCATAATTACCCTCAAGTAAAGGGATCTTATTTCACAGTGCAAGCTTGTTTGTATTAATTAACAGAGCATAATAAATATTGCCCATGTGAGGAAGGGGATTAAAATACTAAATACTGTACTTGGTATCCATTTTCCTCTTAATAGTCCTGAAGGTGTATATTACTGGTCCTGCTCCAGGGTGAGAAGCAGATGGACAACAGCAGCACTGCTGGATGAAATGATTTCTCTCCGTTTGCAGATGGGCAACATCCATTTAAAGGGGGGGGGGGGTTATTCATGCCAAAGTGTAACAAGCATATTTGCTTTCTAGAAACAACACATCCCTGTTTAAAAAGGAACAGGAATCAGGTTACATGGACAACTGCTGAGAACAGGAATCAGAGATTGTAGACAACTGACACACAGACTATCAGAGAACAGGAATTGGGGATTGTAGACAACTAACACAGAGACTATCTGAGAATAGCTTTCGGAGTAAATAGACCAGCCTTGACTTACACCCTGGATCACTAAAGGATAGAAATGCTCAATGAAAATAATGTAATTGATAATGGATGCCTTCATTTTCAAAGGCTGTTTACTACAAATCAGTTTATGTCTGTTGGCTAAATGAATTGTAGATGAATTTTGAATAAAGACAAACAGTTTATAGTGTACGATGAAGCAGGACTTCACATGGGGCAGCTTACCCAGGCTAGGAGCTCTGTCAGTCAGCAATGGCTGTCCCATTTCTGACCTTGCTGTAACAGCCTAATTCATTTCGGCTGAGACCCCTGCTACACAAAAACATGCCAGGAGGAAACTCAATTCACATTTAATGAAAATGTTCAAAATTTTCTGGGCCCCCTGTTCTTCTCTCATTACCGCTTTGCTGCTCCCGGACACAGTCGCCATCACCAATGCTTCACCGTCCCAGTGAGAGGCTAATCGGGTGTTTGTCTCGGGGAGTGTTGGGGGGAGGAGGGGGGCGATTGTAGCCTCTTCATTAAAAGCAGATGACCTCACTGTTTATCCTCAGTTCATCCACTCTGCCCCCATACCAAGGTACAGCATTTATACGATATGATATGTATATTATGCAATATTTGCAAACATCTGCCTCAAAATGTTACATTAAAAATGGAGGACTGACTTCTGTGTTTTATAACCTGAAACCATCAAGAAGACGACACGAGTTTAGTGAGGCACTCAAGCACAGGTTTCAGGACTGCGGATGTACAGATGGCTAAGCCAGGTGGGTGGAGGGGGGGGAGAGAAACGGAAAGGCTTGAAACTCGACATGGCAACTGCTAAATGGACAAGGAGGTTTGGGGATGACAGCATGAAAGGAGGACCAGACACAGGTCGGCGTTATGGACAGGCATGGAGAACACGGAGGGACGATCCATGCTGAGGCTCAAACAAAACAAGTGACTTAAAGTAAAGCAAAACGAAACAAGAAACAAAAGGAACGACGATGGTTCTAAAACACAGACAGGCAGGTAGAAAACAATGAATTGAAGACGGGAGCAGCAAAGGAACAAACTACACCATCAGGTAACAAAAACAGCAAAAGCAGGAGCAAACAAAAGAACAAAGAAATGCAACTAAACACAATGACTGACTGGCTGAGAAGAGTAATGGGGCAGGCACTCAATGAACAATAACAACGAGGCTAAATAAGAGACAGGTGTGGGCATTTAACGAGCACTAATAACACAGGAGCACAAGTGAGGATAATCAACACAAAGGATCAAACGGCAGGAGAGACTAAAATAAAGGTAACAGATATATTACAAAAAGGGAAACACGGGGAGCAAAGACAAGGAACTATGACGGAAATACAGAAATATATAAGCAGCACAGAAAATACAAAGAAATGTATATGACGTGAACTAACACAAAACGGCATAGCCAGTGACACCTGCTGGCCAAACTGAGAAATAACACAATGAAGGGGGCAGGGCAGGGCCCGATCCTGACAGGTCAGGATAAATGGGGGGAGTATGGACCTGGCACACAGAGAGGCACGTCCAGGCACTAGTGAAGGATGGATGGGCTGCTGATTCCTAATGGGCCAGTTTGCGGGCGAGTTCATGTCAGCAAACGGATGCGGGGGGGCGGGGCATAAACATGAGTGACGGAGGCCATTCTGAAAATCACATGCAACACGGTCCCACGGTTCCACTTTCCTCCAGGACGTGCCGGTGTGATGGCATGCTTCAGAGGTCCGTCTCCCAAATCTGGCCCCTAAAAATAGCCCGTCTCTTTGGGCCTCAAGCGTGCTAAAAACCGCAGGGATGAGCTGGTGAATCTGCAAAGTCCGAATGAACCACTTCAACAGGAAAAATAAATGTCAAGTGCAATCTAATTTGTTGCGGAGGCTACATAAAGGTCTGGCGAGCGGCGTGCAGACACGGCCCCGACTGGCGTGGCGGGGCCCGTTATTGTTAGACATGTCGGCGTGCCTGGTTTCTGTTGCCGAAAGGTCACCAGCAACGAGTACTAAACATCTCAGCACACCACTGCTGCAGCCTCATGGGAGAGCTGAGATCTATCAGGCATTTTGTGCTTTTTAAATACACAAGAACCACAAAGAATTCCTCAAAAAATGGAAACAAAGACCATTCAAAGCAGAAACTAAGTTGGTGGGGAAGCTCTAATAACAGATTATGCAGCTAAGGACCGGGTTAGGGGACGGAATGCATTCATCAATTCCAATACAAATCAGGAAATGGAACTGGAGTTGAAATTTAAATCCCCCCGAAATTCGAGTTCAATTCCAAATCTGTTCCACATAGTTTTTTTTCCAATCCCAACTCCAGTTCCATTTCCTGATTTGGATTAGAATTGATGAATGCTTTCTGGAATGGTCCCTCTGCTAGTGGCAACAGCTAGTGACTAAACTACCAGATTATATGCTGTGGTACTGACCTGCAGAGCTACAGGAAATAGTCTGTGGGGCTGTAATAGAGCCTCCTAAAGACCTCCTGCGGTGTGGAGTTGCGTAGGAGCCAGCTCTGCAGGGGGCTGTCATCGCAGTACTCCACGGTGGGACCATAGCTGCCGTCCTGCAGCCTGCCAATGGTCAGGCAGGACTGGGTAATGACGTGAAGGAATGTGCCCTTCTGGGTCCGCAGACACGAGGAGACAAGCCAGTGAGATGGTGTGTATCCCCCCCCCAGCACAGCATCAAAGAAGGGACACGAACTGGGGTCAGATGAGCTGGGTTTGTAGTGATCATTAATAGCAGGAGATGCACGGTGCAAAATGACTTCCTCCCTGCAGTCGTGATAAATGTTGCGATGCTAAGACGTCTTAATGCTAAACGATTAAGGAACTGTGACCAGGAGGTCTCACTGCAGCACTGCACTACATCACTGCACTTATATTCTCTGTAGAGCAACTTGGAACCATAAAACATAAAGTCTCATTTACACACAGAGAACCTTGAAATATATCTACTGCCATTAAGAGTACGATATTTAACCACTTTTATACGTTTTTTATACGTAAAGGACTAATTTATTCTCTTTGCCAATCCTTATCAATGAGATGGAAGAGTCTAATGAACAATCGACACACTGCTAAACCCCAGAGGTGGAGATTTCAACTACTCAACTGGTGGGTTGAAACAAAATCTTGGTCTGGACTTGTACTGTCTGGACTTGAAATCTCTACCTCTGCTAAAGACAAACCAGGTCCCACTGAGGCTAACTGAAATGCAGGCTACACAATTTCAAACAGCAAACAATGACACTTACCCTGAAGTCATATTCCCACTTGCCCACATACTTTATATAAAGACACAAAAAAAACACAAAGCAATTTTTGCTTAAAGTTGATAAATGATGAATAGTCTTGCTCATCTGATGCACTTTGGTGTATGACTATTGATTCCATAATAATTATTCTAAACCATATATAGAACAATAAGACCATTTCCTTTACATGCTGACAAACCCATATTGTCTGTGGAGCAAATAATTATTATGCCTCATCTGGATAAACTGAAGTCCTCCAACAGCCCCATCTAGTGGTCGAAACCCCTCTGTTCCCACCACATTCCCATTTTAACGACTACGGCAGCGATGCCATTTGATGGTCAGTCTGCTGGTGACCAGGATCGCAGTTTATGTTGTTTCTGTTTTAAGTTACTGAAAATACAGCAGCAGATAATTAACTCATGAATCTGTGAGGATGTCCCTTCGCAGACATGAGGCTCCGAATCTTGTGAAAAATTAGACCGGTATGACTGGGTGGGTCTGAGGTGGCTTTTATCCCATCCAGACCCGAACTCCCTTGTTAGCAGATCGTCTGGGGTGGACGTGATACACTCCCCTTCTGAGCTCTCAGGAGTGGAATGAGACCCCTCCAGTGAGACTGATGTTCCTACCTCCGCATCATACTCAAACATCTGGTTCCCCTTCATGAGGTGGCATTTGAGCATCACGACGGGCCCATTGAGGCGGGACACGTCCAGGCACAGGTCATCTGTGCGGATCTCCTTGTCCGCCGTGTAGGAAAACACCTGCAAAGGTTCAGAGAATGGACACCTCTGTCAGGCGCCTTGATCCCAGCATCCACATCTAGGGGAAGAACAAAGCCATGGGGAGACCCCCCCCCCCCCTTGCCTCACCTGGTTGCCCCCCATGCCGTGGCAGTTGAAGAAGCCCACCTTCTCGTTTTCTTTCCTCCCCATGTTGTCCACGCACTGGTTCGTCTCGACATTCCGAATCTGGGAACGTCAGATGAACGGAGTTAAGAGTGAGATGAAGTCCTGGGATCATCGCTACAGAGTTTGATACGTTCATTGTGCTTTTCATTCAACTGTTACAAATGGGAGCATTTTTCATTTCTTTTCTTTTCTTTTCGAGGTTGTATAAGTTATAAGATACAACTTCGAATTGCAAGCGTATGGATGTTCAGCGGCCCACGTGTCGGACATGGGGATGGGTGTGGTGGGCACAGCGGTCGCTTTGTTGGACCCTTGGACAGCATCTTAATGTGCATTTCTGCAGTGAAGCAGCCTGCTACACAGAGAGGGCTTCCCTGCCATAGGTGCCTCCGCTGTCAATCATCCAGTCAATCATCCAGTCAGATCCCCTCTGCTGCTCTGCAGCCGCCTCATTACTGCTCCGTTATACTCCGAAACCGTCAGTGCAGTGCAATGTCGCCTGTCACCATCCTAAGCCTGGTCCCAGCTATACCTTATATCAGATTATCCACTCACCAGCTTCACTCTGTTTTGCCACTTATCAGATATTTGTACCCGGCGAGATGTACGCGAGTTATAGCTCAGCGTTTTTGCCTATTTGTACAGATGATAGTTCCTTGGCTGTCCGATGTACATGTGGCTGCCGCATATGAGAGTTATACTTGTCATTCTCATTAATATTCATATACACCACAATTACGCGAGCGTCGCATCTTTCATGTGAAAGTCCCATACAGAGGCAAGCTGACACGGTCTCGGGCCCCTGGGCTATTTCAGTTGTTAGCGGCCCCCCACAGTGGCGGCTTTCCATGGGGGGCCCTATTTCAGACCACTGTTCATCGATGCTTCCGCCTGTGAAAAGCCATGCATTAAAGCAGCCCTGCTCCTATATGAACATCAGATGTATGACGCTGCATGTTGTACAATGTGTAACACAGTAAATATAAATATGTAAACAGCGCTGGAAAAAATGACAGGACTTCAGTCCTGTTTCTAAGAGCCTGATACATACTGTCCTAGCAGTGCACTTCACACCTGCACTTAATGCTTCCCATTCCTTTTGAAGGTCACTTTATGTCATCCTCCGATTCACGAGAAACTGTTGGATAAGGTAACGGTCATCTCTGCCATTAGAAAGTTGCTTCGGCTCTCTACCTGCCTGGTTTTTGGTCATTCCCAGTGTCTCCTGCTTCACCTTGTTCCTGTGTACTGCTGTCTTAGAAACATTGAGCCTGGAAGCAGCCTGTCTCGCAGTGAAACCTTCTGCCAGAAGTGCTGATTTTTACAATTTTTTATATGATATTATATGAGGATAATAGCACATGTTGTATTTGACTTTTAAGTATCGAATAGTTAGTATGTCAAACTGCAATGGAGCCCAGCACACGGCAGCCAATCGAATCCGTACTTCACCAAGCGAAAAGTATCTCCTGGGGATCTGGGAGTCTGGGTAGATGTTCTCCAGGTACCAGGAAAAGGGCTTGCACTGCAGCGCCTCCCGGAGGGCCTTGCGGGAGGAGACGTCCCCATAGTCCACCCGTGCCACACCTGCGTGGACGACACCTTTATGAAAAGATTGCTCACAAAACAGTGCCCCCCGACGGCCATTTAATTTCACTACAGTAAAAGTACTAAATGATTATGCAGAAACAGCGACATCACTCTGAGGACAGACAAGGACCTTCTTCTGATTGTGCCCCTTTAAAATACAAATAAAGCTGCATAAATGATCCAAAGAGAGGACAGGACGACTATACGAAACAGAGCATCATGTAGCCAGTTCAAAGCAACTCACAGTTCTTATCCAGTATGCAGGCATATTTAGTGACTCAGGTTAAATTTTACCACCTCATAAATCAGCTAAATTCAGGTTATGAGTAAACAAGAATATTTCAGCGACAAATAATACTCAAAGTCTCCTCCTCTTTAAGAGACATTTCTGCAGCGAAAACACTAACAGGAATTCACTGTTGAACAGCAACCCCTCCTCACCCTCTGCAACAGATTAAATCTCCAGCATTTTCTATCAGAGGGCTAAACAACCGATAGATCCGTAAGATTTCCTGCCAACAAAACGAAGGTGTCCTAATTGCAATACTAGAAATGCACAGCAGGGGGAACCCTTGCCACTTACATTCTTGCTTCCAGCCAGTCTCAGGCCAGAACAAAAAAAAATGGACCTATAAAATTTGTATATACATTTGAAAAATGTATTCCACTTATAATTAAAATCTCTAAATCAAAACTATATGACAGGAATTCCATACATCTTATGTTTAAGCAAGACCTACTTCTTCCAGGAATTGCTCAGAAATGATTAATCATCACACCATATGGTGGATATTTTAATAATGAACAAAGTAAAATATCTCTATAAATGAAACAATATCTGTATAAAAGATTTTATTAATTTTCTACTTAAATCTTTTTTTTTTGTATAATGTATGTAAATGTGTCTGAATAAAGGGGTGTGACTATAATCTGTCATTCCTAAGCATGTTCCAGCACTTCTGTCAGTCACCTTGACTGAGATTTAGGACAGGTCTTTGTTCACCCTGAAAATATCCTGCCACTGGATGTTGCTCCAAGAAGCATGAACTTTCCTCACCCCTAGTTAATAAACAAACAGACACAGGCTGGTCTCCCCTGGGGGGATATTTACTCAAGAAGCACCGTAGCAAATAAGAAACCCCACCAAGGTCAAGCCGGCATTATTAGGCAGGCTGAAAAGGAACAAAGAGGTTCTGTGAAACCCAGTCAAAATATCCATGAGTCATAGTAGCTAATCAGAGGTTCTGTGAAACCCTGTCAAAATATACATGAGCCACAGTAGCCAATCAGAGATTCTGTGAAACCCCGTCAAAATATACATGAGCCACAGTAGCCAATGAGTGGGTGTCTGGCACTCAAACTGGCCACTCACAGCTCACACAGACCCCTGCAACTTCCTGACTCATTCTATTCGAAACATCCCATGGGCAGCATTAGCCCAGACAACCCAAAACCACCCTCCTCTGCACAGGAGATATTATGTACATATAGTGCAAAAACAAAAATGAGTACAGTTTCCTCTAAATTACTGAAAAATAATCTGGGAAAAAAACATTTCTGGAGAGCAACTGTGAATGCTCTGTACATCATTGGAGACTCATTAGTTCATTACAGACAGCCACGTGTGCAAACGATGAGACGCAAGGCCCAGCTTGGTGCAGAGCCTGAGAACCACGTAGCTAAGCTCACCCACCTAGAGCATCTGTTGACGTCACCTACATTTCCCCCGACAGCAACGCTGCTAGCAAACTTTCCAAAGGACAACAACGTCGAGGTTGACACAGGCAAAGCGAGGTCCTAGCATCATTACCAGATCCGAAGAAGACACCTAACAACAGGGAACCGGCGTGTCATCCGGCAGGGAAAGTTTAACTGTAACAAAATGCAGAACCTCCACAGCCATGAGATGACATTCTTTGTTAGGTCACTGGGGGCGGAGTGAACTTGGGTGGGGAAAAAAAAGTTGCTTTCAGTGACACACTCAAAATACTGCAAGATGGATTCAATGGGACTGAAGTCACGACTCATTATCAGTAAGCGGATATCAGTGAGCCAAGTCAGCGAGACGTTCCTATTAAAGATTCAGCAGATGCACACAGAGTAATAAAGTGTATTTAAGACTTAAGACGACATTTTTCTCAGAGATCTAAGTTCAAAACTAAGTCAATCTGCAGTTATCTTTTTATAGAGTCAAGTGTACTCAAAAGAGGTTAATTAATTTTGGAACTGGCTTGTGTGGTGACAAATTAAGCAATATGACAAATTATATACAGTAAAGTAGAACGCAGGGTGGGTAAAAATATTATATAAACAAATATGCTACAAATTTTGACATGCTACAGCATGGAACAACCAGCAGGTGCAGCAGGTGGCGCTACCTGGGGAGATGACATAGAAGAAGTCCTTGAAGTCATCCATCCAGACCTCAGCCAGACGCCGGTTGTTCTTGTTGATGACCTGGCCTGTGCCCCCAGGAAAGCTGTACGGAGTGGCTTTGCGAAACACGTGACCCACGTGTGAACATGTGATGATCTCCAGCGAGCCCCCGCACTGCCAGATCTGCAGGACAGCTGTAGTGAGAGATGCTGTCCAAGCTGCTGTGGACTTCCCTGATGCCCTCATCTTTAATACTGATTAATCATTCGTATTTATGCATTACCCCAGTGTTTCGCAATCCAGTCCTTGGGGACCCACAGTCAGTTCATGTTTTTGCTCCCTCTAAGGTCACTTCCAGACTTCCAGTCCACATTTATGCTTCTTCCCATCTCCCTACTGGAGCAAAAACTTGGACTGTCTGGGGATCACCGAGGACTGGACTGGGCAACACTGCATGATTAGCTGAAAGGACTTTTACATAATATGTAACTGCAGTCCATAACATCTCCAACTACTTAACTAGACTAGCATTTCTTCAATCTCTCCTTAGAAACATCCATCCATTCCAGATATTTCTATCCACCACTGACACATAAAATATAACTAATTAATTACTGATGTAGCCCTTATTTTAATCGCGAGCATTGGAGATGAAACATAAATGTGAGAATGGTTGGGGTTCACCTATGACAGGAACGTAGGTACTGCAGTCACTGAAAGCTTAACATTCTGCTGCATTTCATCAAAGGCAAAAGCAGCTGGGTTGTGTTTTACAGAAATCACAGAGGTTTCAGATTTACCCTGAAAGATATTTCTAAGTTCTCTCCCCCCCAGATATCCATTCCTGGGTCATACGTCCCGATCTCTTCGAAGTACGATCTGTCAATAGAGAACAGCCCCCCCGCCATAGTCGGGGTCCTGCAGGAGGAAACGACGCATGAAAAATGTCACAACACTTCATAACGAAGGAAAATACAAGAACCAGAAGCACTTCAGATCAATAAGTTCATGGCTGAAGGAACAGAAATTTCCAACAAAAAGTTCACAACCCAGGGTTTAGGTTCCTTAACTGTTGTGGGTCCTCATTTCAGCTCATGGGAGTTTTACTTACACTAAAACATTCTGAGGGCAGAACACAAAAATAATTGGCTATCTCTCTGAACCAATCAAATTGTAGAGGAGATGGGACCAACTTATCAGATATTGTGGTCCCGCTTCCTTAGTCGCTTGGACCCACCTCCTCTACAATCTGATTGGTTATCTTTCTGAACCAATAATTTTTGTTCTGCCCTCTGACGAGCCTCATTTCATGGGTGAAATTCTGTGTGATTCAAGTTTACCGGGTAGGACAAAGGCCTACAATGACAATCACACTTTCCACTGTGGGAACCCTGCTGGAAAAACCAGCGTGACCAGCTTAAACCAATTTATGATAGGTGACTAGTTTATGGCATGTTTTCACGTGATGGTTTGATGGTTTAGCTGGTCATACCAGCTTATAGTGGGTATTCTAGCTGGTTTAGCTTTTTATACCAGCATGCCCAGCTTGATAGGCTGGCCACACCAGGATAACCAACTGGTGACCCACCCAGCAAAACCATCAAAGAGCAGCAGGAGCTGGGACATGACTTACAAAGATCATGTTAGGTAAAAACAGCTACCAGAATAAGCTGGTATTTTGCAAGTTTTTTTAGCAGGAAAGTTTTGGGTTCAAGCTAAAGTGTTTAATTCTGAGACATTTGCTAGGTTTAGGTTAGACAGCAAAGCAGTTGTTTTGTATGTCACTCGATTCACCTCATCCCAAAACGGTTCACCTTCTAACCCCCATAAGCCATGGATCTGCCATCGAGATATTTCACACTGGCTAACAGCGATTACAGACAAGGGCAAAGACTCTTAGAATGTGGACCGCAACCACCCCTTACTGCCTCTTTATAAACCCAGTTTGATTGCTAAGCCATTCATTTAACACAATCCATCTCCTCCGTTCTCCGAATTCATGACAAAGAGCTCCCAAGACGCCCGTGCTGAGTTACTGGCCGTACGTCTTATGGCTCCAAAGATGCCAGCATTAGCAATGTCAGTTGTGCTGATGTCTCACTTGTTTGTTTTCGTCTCCCGAAATTAGAACATTAAAACGACAGCAAATGCATCAGACAGATGCCTGCAACAATGAGACTGAAACAAATGCAGTCTCTGGCGAACAGGGACATCTGACTGCATCGCAGACACATTTACAGCGCAGTTTCTTCAGCAGATGAGGAGATAATCCTGTGCTTATTTCAGACTACAGCAGCCACATTCAACATCACTACCTATTTAGAACCCAGCATTACCCTTTATTTAGCTGGGTATTAAATCAAGAAGCCAAGTTAAGCACTTTACTCAGCACTAAGTATAATGACTGTGGTTTATTCCTTGTGTTTGAACCATGCAAACTTCTGGCGACTTCTTAGGCCTTCAGTCACTCCTCCAGTCAGCCTGAAACCCTTCACAAGACCATTGACATCAAATAGCTTCAACGCAGCCCCATAGGAAAAGGGTCTGTGGTTTGTCAGATGGTCGTGCTTGAGGACATGTGGCTTTAAAACCCACAATGGGCTGGATTATTTGTCCACAGTAAATCAGGCTGGAATATCCCGTCTCTTATTGATTATTTTATTGGTTCCCATTATATTAAACAAGTAGTGTTTGAGTGCAATAATCCTGCCTGCTGTAGGTGCAGAAGCTTTGTTTTCTTACAATAAAGGCAATTCTTTGAACGTTATATATTATTTCATCTAAATGCCCTCCGATAAGCCTCAGTCTGGACCATCCTCTTGCTTTTTTGCGCCCCGGAACACGCATCCCAGTCGCCCCCTTGCCTGACAGGAAGCGTCCGATCCCCTTTCCTCCGGTCCATCTCCCTCTGAGGTACGGGGTACCATCTGAAGTTCAGCTTCCAGTTGAAGCCGCCATAGGTCATGTCGGATCCCGCCATGTACTCAAACGTGTCGTCGCTGATGACGTCGATGATGGGACACACCACCGCCGTCCTGCGACAACGAGGGCCACAAGACGACCACTGTCGTGAAGGCGGCTTTAACAAACTGCTATTTCCGGCAACAAAAAGAAAACACTGCATTCAAACTCTAAACCTAAATGTAAATGTATCTAAATTTGAAAAAGTTATTTGTTGCACGAGTTATTACTTCGTTAGAATAAAATTTTTGATTTGTAATGGAACATAAGTCATGTGATGCAGGTATATTACTCAGTATGAGAATCAGGCAGAGAGTCATACGGTTAGATGTTTTTAATTTTTGTATTTGATATATTTCATTATTAAATCTTTTTTTACACAGTTTAATAGAGGATTCTTTATAATTCGGGAGCCTTCATACAATGTCTGCTCCGTTAGTGCATATAAAGCTCCTCCGCTTTATATGCACTAACGGAGCAGACACTTACACTAAATTGCTAGTAATGCAGAAGATTAAAAGTCATTAGGTCAGACCATACATGCATGGTAAATTTCTTCATTTTATTTTATTTTATTTTATTTAGGGCTTGTTCCATTTGCAAAGTACACTGCTCAAAAAAATTAAAGGAACACTTTCTAATCAGAGTATAGCATCAAGTCAATTAAACTTCTGTGATATTGACGTGGTCAGTAGCAGAGGGGGTTGTTAATCAGTTTCAGCTGCTTTGGTGTTAATGAAATTAACAACAGGTGCACTAGAGGGGCAGCAATGAGACGACCCCCAAAACAGGAGTGGTCTGGTTTAACAGGTGGGGGCCACTGACATTTTTCCCTCCTCATCTTTTCTGACTGTTTTTTCACTAGTTTTGCATTTGGCTACAGTCAGTGTCACTACTGGTAGCATGAGGTGATACCTGCACCCTACAGAGGTTGCACAGCACAGTCCAACTCCTCCAGGATGGCGCATCAATACATGTCAATTACCAGAAGGTTTGTTGTGTCTCCCAGCACAGTCTCAAGGGCATGGAGGTGATTCCAGGATACAAGCAGTTACTCTAGGAGAGCTGGACAGGGCCATAGAAGGTCCTTAACCCATCAGCAGGACCAGTATCTGCTCCTTTGTGCAAGGAGGAACAGGATGAGCACTGCCAGAGCCCTACAAAATGACCTCCAGCAGGCCAGTGGTGCGAATGCCTCTGACCAAACAATCAGAAACAGACTTCATGAGGGTGGCTTGAGGGCCCGACGTCCTCTAGTGAACCCTGTGCTCACTGCCTGGCACTGTGTCAGATGTGAAAGGGTCTAAAAAAGTCGTGGAGAACGTTATGCTGCATGTAACATTGTTCAGCATGACCGGTTTGGTGGTGGGTCAGTGATGGTCAGGGGAGGCATATCCATGGAGGGACGCACAGACCGCTACTGGCTAGACAACAACACCTTGACTGCCATTGGGTATCGGGATGAAATCCATGGACCCATTGTCAGACCCTACGCTGGTGCAGTGGGTCCTGGGTTCTTCCTGGTGCGCGACAATGCCCGGCCTCATGTGGCGAGAGTATGCAGGCAGTTCCTGGAGGATGAAGGAATGGATACCGTTGACTGGCCCCCATGCTCGCCTGACCTAAATCCAATGGAACACCTCTGGGACATTATGTTTCAGTCCATCCGACGGCGCCAGGTTGCACCTCAGACTGTCCAGGAGCTCAGTGATGCCCTGGTCCAGATCTGGGAGGAGATCCCCCAGGACACCATCCGTTGTCTCATTAGGAGGATGCCCCAACATTATCAGGCGTGCATACAAGCACATGGGGGCCATACAAACTACTGAGTATGATTTTGAGTTGCTGCAATGAAATTTCGGCAGAATGGACTAGCCTGCCGCATCATTTTTTCACTTTGATTTTTGGGGTGTCTTTGAATTCAGCCCTTTGTAGGTTGATAATTTTCATTTCCATCAAACAATGTGGCATCCTTT